CTTTATTTCATTACATTTTTTGATATATTTTCCACTTCTATGCCACCATATGTTTTCTCTTGCAATTAATCCACCATCAACATTCATTTCAAAGTTCATTTCAGATCAACCATATATATGTTTGGATGTCTTTGCTACCAAAAAAAAAAAAAAAAACTTTAGTGAGTATTTTTCATAACTCAGAACGATCATTCAAAAAATTAACTCGCGAAAAAAATTATAGTCATGTGCTTTAGAGTGATATGAAATTCGATTAATCGGTAGAATAAAACAATACTACATATCCATTGATCAATGATTAAGTGCGCAAGAAAAAAACACACACACACACACACAAAAATGTACATTAATCTAAGTAACAATAAAATTGTAAAATCCAAAACTTTATCATACAAAAAAATCAACTTAATTACAATTTGAAACAATCCCTTAATTCATGGTTTTCTTCCATATCGATGATAATATGAAACGCCGATAGAAATTACAGAAACAACGATTGATGTAGTCATCACCAACCACTCTACGTTTACACCAAAATATCGACTATTAGAAATCACGTTTTCTTGAATCTCCAATTTTTTCTCCAATTCATCAACTTTTATGAGCATTTCTCTAACCCTCTCTATCAACTCATCCTTCGCCGCATCAATTACATCTTTCTCCTTTTTCCAATCGTCGTTTAGATCCTCAAGTTTCTGCTTTAGGTCCCGAATTTCATTTTCCTTGAGTTCTAATAGTACTCTTTGGTGATTTCCACTTACTTCCAACTTCTCAATTTTCCTCAATAACAAATGTATTTCGCGCTCCAATGAGGCTACCTTCTCATTCAAATTATTAATTTCATCCGCCATAGTTTAAAATTTAAAATGAAAAAGAAGTAAGAAAATAAATTGTATTTGGTACTTATATATATAGTGATGAAATGTAAAATTTTAATTGAAGAATATAATCGTTGCGTCTGTTGGAGAAACCTGGCGGCTTTTCAACTGTCACAAAAGGGTACATTATTCAAAATTCAAATATATCGTGGAATTATTTAAAATGAGTTAGTTTGATCATTCGTTATGTGTTTTTGCTCAAATATGTGTTCAAAAATATTCTTTTTACTAACGGTTGCTTCAAACTTTTAAAAAAAATTATCCAATTTTTTTTTTTTGAAGTATGATAGTTTTGCCCTTCATTTGAAGTACGGGAGAAATGTTTTTAGTTGTAATTAAAGACTTGAACAAGAAACTTAATTATATTGGAGATTATGAGATTTATTTAATTATTTTATATGATGTATATTTGTTTTTTATAGGGAAAAGGCTCAAATATGTCACTTTGACAAAAGGCATATCTATGTCATTCGTTAAAAGTTTGGCTCATCTATGTCATTTTTGTTTGAGAAAAGACTCATATGTGCCATGACAAAAGGCTCGTCTATGCTATTTCCGTTTGGAGATTATGAAATGTTTTTTTTCTCAGTATTTGATAACGAAAACAATAGTCAAAATGCACACATAATGTGTTAGAAACAACTTACATTTGTCATTCTTTAATAGAATTGAACCTCAATTGTCCTTAACTTTAAGATTTTATGAGCGGATACACGTTGTTAAAAAAAAAAAACTTTTAAACTTCGAAAAGTATCACATAAATTCAGATAAAGAAAGTAATAGACACACAAGGAGAAGTAGAAATCTGTCTATACATGTAGTTGGTCCATGAATTTTTGCCATTTTTCCATTCTGGGATAGTCGTTTAGCAAATGACCTGACACTATTCTATATACTCTCTCAAATGTGGGGCTGATTTATTTTGCTATAGGGGTCATCTCCTGTCATCCCTTACCTATGGTTTAGGAAAGGAATTGATCGGAATGATTGTAACGACCCTTTATATATGTAGCTGGTCCATGAAATTTTGCCCTTTTTCCATTCTGAGATAGTCGTTTAGCAAATGATCCTATATTATTTCTTTCAAATGTATACACCTTTTAGAAAACTGGTTTAAGATTCCTTTAAACAAACTAAAATTTTTATGAGAAAACTTCAAATCATAGGCTAAATTTTGCAAGTTATTACAGATCGTAAACGATAATCTAATATTTTGTCACTAAAGTAAAACACAATATATGACTTCAAACTTTCATAAATACAACAAAAGCAACAGTACACACATTGCACAAACACAAATCCATAATGATTTAAGTTCAATAAAAACGCAATTACATATCCATTCAATAATTTAGTTCAATAAAATGTCACTCCTATCGGAGTAATAATAATAACATAATTAAAAATACTCAAGCACATCAATCCTCTACTTTTACACCAGAAGATCCACCAACTTGTTCCTTCTCACCAACAACTTTCTGGGAAATCGCGTCCTCCATACTCTTCAACTTGTTCTCCAATTCCGAGATTTTATTAAGCAACTCTTTAACCCTACCTTTTCGCCAACTCATACTTCGCCATGCAAAAAAATCCTGCCTGTTTTTCCACCTTTTCTCTTGCTCCTCAAGTTTCTGCTTTAGGGCCCTAATTTCCGTTTCCTTGACTTCTATTTCAACTTTTTGAGTCGCTTCTAAATTTTCAACTTTCCTCAATAGCAAATCATTTTCGCGCTCCAATGAAACAATTTTCTCAATTGGATCAAACTCCTTGTTCAGATCAATCTCTCTTTTCTCGTTCACATCAATTTCCATCTTCTGATCCGCCATACTATAATTTTTAACCTGAAAATATCATTCGATAAATTTTCAATTATTACAATGCAACTTCGAATAACCATGTACAAATTGTAAATTACTACAATGCAAGTTGTTACTCATCACAATATCGACAGTAATTAAAATGATCACAATTCACAATACTAATTGCATTATTACAAATTAACAGAGTTTTTTTTTTTTTTATAATTACGATTCCAGTTTCGTATTTAAAATTTGAGTACTGGCTATTGTTTTATGGAAAATCATAAATTTTTCAAATAATTTTTTGGAGGGAGAAATTATTAACCTTTGTATTTCGTGGAGTGAATTGTTGAGGAATAAAGAATGAAAGAAAAATATTTAATTTTGTATTTGTAGTGAAATGAAGAAACGATGTGTCTATTGGAACAATGGCGGCATTTTTAATTGTTCGTACCGTTGCACTCTTTTATATTTTTCAGAAATACCGGTTCAAGTTTTTATTATTTATTTTGTTTTTCAATTATGTTAAAAAAAAAATAAAGAGGGGAATGAATTTATGATAACTTGGAGTTGCTGATTAATGTTCTTTTTAAAGTGAAAATACTCAAATGTATCATCAAATTTTGTGAAACGACTTATCTATGTCATTCGTGAAAAATTTGATTCGAGGATGGAAACATGTTATGAATCTTTAATTGAACTCGAGGATAGAAATTCAAGATTGCTATAGAACTAAATAGAAGAAGTTTTTAAACCTGATGGGAACAAATTTTAAAGTAAATTATTTGTAAATATAAATAAAATTGTGGCAATCTTTTAAATCATTAATTACTTAATTGCCGTGATTATCGTCGCAAATTTCCCTAATTCTCATAGATGATTATTTAAGTGTGTATGAATATGACGATTAAACAAATTAAAGTGTATGTCAAAGAATGTGATAATTCCTTTAATTAAGGAAGAATTTATACTTAAAATTTTGTATGTGTTGAGTAATATTAGAACAAGACAAATTAAATGTGATTAAACGGATATAAAATTGAGGCTATATAATCGCATAGAGGAAGCTCCAATATTTTTATGGATATACTTCAAGTTTCGTTTTTGAGTTTCATCAAATCTATAGAGTTCAGTTTCAGTTAGTTCATACCTATATAAAAAGGTAATATATTCTGATCCCTTGAAAAATTATCTTAAAAATTTCATAATTCACGGAATATTCACAAAAGATTAAGGTGTGACCTAACTCTTCTTGTACGTCAATCAAATAGTTGAAGAAGATCAGATGTGACCGAACTCCTTTAGACAATCAAATATTTCAAGAAAATTCACAAAATCACTTCATACAACTCAAATAAATCTTAAGGAGGTCCACATCATCCTAATTCAAAAAATACGTAAATCTTAGAAGAGAAGAATTAAGCAAAAATAATATTTGTACTCACAATTTTAATGTTTAAAATCATCTTTTAAATATATTTTATCATTGCAGTATATTTTATGTATTTAAGAAAAAATATTGCAAACACCTCTTCCAATAAAATATTGACTTTCAAAAGTTTTTGGCCAAACAAGCTATTTGACTATTCAAATTTTTTTTAACTTTAATTAGTTCTATTCCATTTTACTGTCCACGAGAAGTGTAATTCTCATTAAACTCACATTTAAAAAAATACTTTTACACACTTGGAAAAAATATCTAGTATTATTAAATACCAATTTGCTAGGTAACGACAAAGACATCAAAATCCTATATATTCAACTCTACCTAATGAAAGGAACATTATTCAATTTAAATATTGTTGTTATTTGGAAATTTACTTACAATATCATTTAAATCTTTTCACATGACTTCTATGATTTGTTATTACACTAAAGATAATTTTTGAAGTGTTTAATTTTAACCATATTATATGGAAGATGATATATGTAGCTAAACCAAAATCATTTTTATAGCTAGGTTGGTCAAATTTTTGAGTAATCGAAAGTACTTTTTAAAAGAAATTTAAAAGTGCTTATTTTAGATAATTAGGTGTTCCGCTAAGTATTTTTAAGTAGCTATAGAAATTACTTTTCAGAAGTTAAAAAAGTTCTTTTTCACTCACTATTGAAATCTTGACCAAACATAAATTACCGTTCTAATTATGTTGCAAATGACAAATGTGTTTTTCAAATTCAATAGTCAAACACAATATATAAATTTCCACTATTTTAAAAAAAAAATTGAAATATACTTCTGACAAAACATGCTTTTCAAAATAAATAATTTTTGAAAATTTGGCCAAATAGATACACATAAAAACTTATGATGAGTACCCTCAAAATCATTTTTTCTTCAACAAGGACCATCCATTTGCTATTACCTATCAAGCTACATACTCTTTTTTTTTTCTCTCTCTCCAAAACATTTCTCATCTCTCAAGATTATCATTTCTTTTTCTTATTGCACAAAACTATAGTGTTAGTGTAATTTAAGAATTTGAAATAATATTTTTCTCCAATATGTCTGATAACACTTTTTATCATGATTACATGGGAATTGGTGGAGGGATCAATAATACATTTCCTTTTTTTGGTGAAAATCCTTCAAATTATAATGACCAACCAATAATTCCAAATATTCAAAATCCAAATCATCAACAATTTGTTCCTTCTTCTTACATGACTCTTACTGAGTGTTTACATGGCTCTATGGACTACAACACTCTATCAAATGCTTTTGGCATGTCTTGTTCATCATCCTCTGAAGTTGTTCGTCCACATATCGATAATCAAGACTCTACTAGAAAAAGTAGTGTCTCTGCTACTATAGAACCCGTTTTAGATTTGCCTCTGGGAGATAAAACAAGCATTGAAATTTCACCAACGCCAAATTCTTCGATATCTTCTACTTCTAATGAGGCTGGAGGGCAAGAAGATTCTTCCAAAATCAAGAAACATGTTCAAGAAAAAGGGGTTCAACAAGAAGGAGAAGACAAGTCTAAGAAAGAGTAAGTCATTTTTAATTCATTTGCTCACACATAATCATTAGTAGAGGTGGATCAAAATAGTTCAGACTTTGTATATGTGTTGAAAGATCCACTAAATTAATAATAAAAATAGATTTCGATTTCGATAGATCAAAGAGTTGTGGTTGAATTCCGATCTAAAATCTAAAAAATTCAAATCTTAAATCTGCTTCTCATCATAACAACAATTTCTTCTCAGAAATGATTCTTTATTATTCAAAGATTAGGTTATATATATATTATATATAATTGGATTAATAATATATGATAATCATAGTTTCTAGGTTGATTATTCATTAACTAGACTTTTTATTATTATCCAAGATTCTTTCACATATTTAGAAATTAATATTTTGACCATATCCTCCTCCTTTTATTTGTTTTATAGTTTTAGAAACCCTAATTCTTTTTTCTTACGACAATAACATACTCAATGTATAACCTCATTAGTAGGATCTAGAGACAGTGGAGTGTACGAAACCTTGGATTCCTGTCTTGTGAAGATAGAAAAATTGTGCAGGTATATAAGTTGATGATTATATTATTTCAGGTGCAAAGAAAAAAAGAAAGGTGAAAAAAAGGTAAAAGAACCAAGATTTGCCTTCATGACAAAGAGTGAGATTGATAATCTTGAAGATGGTTATCGATGGAGAAAATATGGACAAAAGGCAGTGAAAAACAGCCCTTTCCCCAGGTAAAATATTAATTTGTGTCTTTAATTTCATTCAATTAAATTAAATTAATCTAATCTCAACTTATCTAAGTAAAATTTAAGACTACAACATATCAAACCTTATTTTATATATAAATCATTAGATATTGTCATTTTTCACTAAAGATCTTAGATCTGATCCGTCTTTAAGAAAATTCTTGATAGAAAACGTTGTCCCCTTCAGTACGTAGCCACTAGGATGCGGCTACCGCATGCCAAATGGAAAAGTTAGTCAAGAGAGAAAGAGAACTAGCTAGTCATACATCCTCCACCTTTTTCTTTTGTTCCTTATCCCTTATATTAAAATACATTTTTTTTTACTTGTTATCACGAATAATTTATATTTTTCTTTCAATATTATCCTTATCATTAATACTATATAGAGTACTAGTAGTCAAACTTAAAATTTTAAAGTATTAATATAATTACCTTAATAAATAGTTTCTTAAGGAAATTGTTATGTAAACGAGGGACAATTTAAAAAAAAGGGGGGGGGGGGAGGGAGGGGTAATATTTAACGAGGACGTACATAAAGCAGAGACACAATTCATAAACATGGGCAAAATTGAAATTTAAAGTTTATGTGTTGTGAAACTTATATTGAACTCATAGCTCGTTTGATTACTAGAGTTCACAATTTAATTAAATATTTAATGAATTTTGTAAAACAAATACATAATCTAAGCAAACACTAGTTTGTCTGAAATAGACCCCCCCCCCCCCTCATATGTTTCACAAAATCCCACTTATCGAGTCATTTAAACTTACTATAGTCGAAAAATATTCTAATTAACTTTTTGAAAATGGACTTTGTAGGAACTATTATAGATGCACAACTCAAAAGTGCAATGTGAAGAAACGTGTGGAAAGGTCATATGAAGATTCATCAATTGTGATAACAACATATGAAGGCATACACAATCATCATTGTCCAGCAACTCTTAGGGGAAATTCATCCTTTTTATCTTCCTCACATTTTATGCCTAATTTTCCTCCACAATTATTTTCCCAAATGCTAAATATTCCACCTACCAACCAAAATCTCCTCATTACTTCTGCGGCCTATGATAATAATAATAATAATAACAATTATTATTACCAACAACAACATCAAGGTTCAGAATATAGCCTATTTGGTGGAGGCACAAATAATGATGCATCATGGATCCAAAAACAAGAACCATCTTAGCTCACTACAAGGTTTTCGTGGCGATTGGCTCACAAAGGTCGCGACTAAAGGTGGTACTTTTAGTTTAGTCGCCACAGAAAGTTAACAATCGCACATCTTGCAAGGACACAAATTAGATTCTCAATTGAATGTTTTAATCTGAAGCATTCAATGAGAATCAAAATTGACTTAGTCGGATCTTGTCAGAAATATTATCTTCTCTAGTGGCGACTATATACCTTATCCGCCACGAATTTTGTACAAGTTTCTTGTAGCATTGACTATTTTTATATATACCTGGTTGAATTTAATTTGGATTTCATGGTGATTGATTCATATATGTTCCCGACAAAAGGTGATAGTTTTAGTGGCGATTCTCATGGTTGCCACAAAAAGTAACATTATAGTGGCGACTACTTTTAGTCTACCATGAATTTGTATGATTTCACCTTGTGCTGGACCAATGCTACGAGCTTTCGGAATCCAATGGAATCTTCGTAAAGTTGATCATTATGAGTGTTACGATTCATTCGATTGGCAGGTCCAATCGATTCATAGCCTCTCGAACACAACCCATAGTCATGCAAGGATTGGTGATTGAGAATCCATACAGAGTTTTATGAAATATTTTAGAGATCAAGGAACAAATGCTTTCTTCAGGAAAAATAAATAAATAGTGTAGACAGTTTTTTTCTTGTTGCATTTAATCTGGTTTTTGTGGCGATTAACTCTCTTAAAGATCGCGATAATGTAAAATGTGATAGTTTTAATGACGATTGTAATTGTTGCCACAGAAAATAACATTTTAGTGACGACTATACTTAATTAATCTGCCATGAATATGTATGAATTTGTCTTTTTCTTCTCAATTTTTTTTTCATTTTCTTATAGTACCAACAAATAATGCAATAGTTGTTATTGGAATCATTCTCTAACGTTTGAAACATGTATTGTTTGGGTCATCTTTTTTACTATTTGAAATTTGACCTTTATGAATTTTAGTTTTAAGACATCAACTTAAAGTATTAAACTAAATTTTGATTTTTTAAAAAAGTATTTGCTAAAGTTCTTAATAAAATTTTAAGTTAAGATTATTAAGTTCTATCAAACTTATGATAATTATACCTATAGCTTAACTATTTATGTAACCAAATCACTCATAATTAAACTAATTCTAACTCATAAGGAACTATCATTGATAGGTTTGATAGCCTGATAAAACTGATATTATAATTTATCGATTGTTACAAATTACTTTCTCGATATAAATTTATATGACACTATTTAATTAATAAAACTTGCGATCCGAAAGAATCTTTAGATCATTATATGACTATAAATTATTTTATTTCGCAAACTAAAATAGAAATATCTCAGATATGTCAGTCGTACAAAAGGGGTAAAATATATTAATATTATAATGATAATGGCTTGGAGATTGACTATAGAGTACATGCAATTAATGCTTTAAGCATGACATTTTTGACATTATTTTTTGGAGTGAAATGGGAATAGTGAAAGTCAAAAGAGAGCAGGTTATTGTTAGGTTGGGAAAGCACTAGTAGCAGCAGCTAAGAATATAAATTGACATAGACTTCTCCCTAACAAAATTTAGATTATTTCAACTTCATCTCTCGTGACGGAATCAGAAATTTTACGAAAAATATTTAAATTTAAATTTAATAATTTTTGGGTCATATTTTAAATATGTTGATCAGATAGCCACAAAAGTCTTTTGGGATGACTTTTCTCTTAACAACATTTGATATCTTGATAGAAAATAGTAAATATTTGAAAATAAAAACCTTCCAATTTCAAATCTTATTCAAAGGAATCTTGTATTTTCTATACCATGTTCATATCTTATAGAAACTTATGTTTTAACATATTTTTAGTGATTTTATTCCCATAAATTTGTTTTATTATTAATTTAATAATAAGGTGAAATTAAAATAGTTGAGCTTGTTAGAATATTAAGTATGAGTATAATTATATTTATAATAGAAATCCACTTTTACTTGTTTATATTTGACTTGATATATATATATATATATATATATTTATTTATTTATTTATTTTTAAAATAATAATTTTATTATATTTTTCTTATTATTATATTTATAAGTCATCCACTCATTGAAAAAATTAATATTAATAAAAATAAAATAATAAAATATATCTTAATTTTTTAAACTGAATAAATAATAAAATGAATATAAACGTGAATATAGGAATAGAAGGGCCATTAATCATTAGCATTGAAATACTGACTCTTCCTTTTATGTACGATAAAGTCACGATTAGTTAGAATTTAGAAACCCTTGTTATTTATAATTTTTAAAGAACCGAGTAAGCAAAAAAAAGATAAATAATATTATGGGACAGAGGAAGTATATATATTAATAATCTAAAATATATTTACACCATAAAATTATTTTTGTAAAACATACTAAACTATGTAATGTTGTATTGTCTGCTTTGGATCAAGCAAACAATTTTCTTTTTGTGTTTGTGACTTGATTGAATATCAACTCTGACAAAAACCACCATAATAAGAGGTGATTGAGATCATCCATTTTTAATCAGAAGTCTCGACTTCAAATGTTGAAAACATAAAACATCTCGATAGAAAGTGTTCTATTCCAGAGTTAGCAAGTTTTGAATACCGAATGCATAAAGAAAAACTAAGCAATGAGAAAGGGGGAATCAATACTTATATGTAAACATTCATCAAAATTGCAACAGATAGTAAATATAAACTCACAATTATGAAAATTATAAATGGATTCAATGCATGAACCTTAAAACTCATAAAATTAAAATTCTGAATCTACCTCTACCAGCCGTGATCACATAAACCCTAAATTCATATATTGGTAATTGATCTTGCCTGTGGGAGTTCAAGAATCTCATCTCAGTCATAGTCAAAGAAAACATAACTTGTATAAATTGCCTGGTAAGCTCCACACACAGCACTGAAACCTAGATGTAACATGTCCTCTTCGTGTGAATCTTGCAATGATCATTGTTCATTCCATTGTATCGAGAAAAGACGATTGTTGGTTCTCTGTCATGATTCCATGATACTCATATCTCCATTGACATGAAAATACGATTTGAATACCTGATGAAGAATCTTCCGTTTTGTTGAATCAAGCATCTTTGCACTACGTCCTCGATAGACTCCAAGTCTCAGTGTTTCTTTCCCCTCTTTGACAGCTCGTTTCCTCACATCAGTCAGTAAAGTCGTTCCTGTGGAATCCACACTTGTCTGGCAGTCAGTTTTCTCTACTACATTTTCTGCTTGCTCCGTGCTGTTTTTTGCATTGTCATCATTCAGTTTGCTATCCTGGTTACCCTCAGGACTCTTGTTTCCCCACCACCTATATGTTGCAGTAGACAAGCCATCGGATGGAAAACCATATTTGAATTCATCATAAACTGAAGTTCCTTTTGTCAAGTTAGAGATACGGAAATGCGGTGAACTTCCAGATTGAAAATTCCTGGTTCCTTGCTGCTGTGAGAAGGCCCCTGCTCTTGGCATTTCCATTGTGGAACTTATAGTCTTGCTTGGCAATGGGGAGCCCCTACATAAAAAAATTTGATGGGAAGCATCTCAGTAGACACTAATGATTTATATTTTTCTTTTGATAAGGTAAAGGTTTATTGACTTGAGTACCAAGAAGGTACCAAAACCAAAAGTTACAAAAGACTGTTGGGAATATCCATACAGTCAATTACAACATCTCCCTAGCAACTCTAAAAACTCCATGTATTGATCTATATTATCAACAAAACTACTTTTACACCAACAAAACAAATTATATAACATTTGTTTTTAACTCTAGAAATATGGTCTTTTTGCCCATCAAAACAAGCTTTATATCTTTCTAGCCAGATAGTCCGGAATATGCACAAAGGTATAGTTCTCCAGATTTGCTTCAAAATTTTATGTGTTCTCTGGTACTGCCAACTCTCCAATAATTCCTTAACACTCGGGCATGATCCAAGAGATCCCGCAAATACTGAACAAAAATTCACAACATTGTCTAGCTACTCTGCAATGCATAGGAAGGTGATTCACAGTCTCCAACTCTTCTTCACACAAGTAACATCTATTACTTGGTGCAAAATCCTTTTTCTGACCATTATCCTGAGTAAGGCAAGCCCCTGCACTAATGACTTATATTCTGTTGTGGCACAGTAGTTTGGTCTACCAGAAACAGCTTCTCTACCTGCCAAGATAGAAGTAAGGTTTGCATACATACTATCCTCCCCAGACCCCACTTATGGAACTATACCAGGTGTGTTGTTGTTGTAGTACAGTAGTTTGAAGCTAATGCAATAGATAATCCGAAGTTCACCATCGGCTCAGGAAATACCTGGTATCATCTAGTAAGGTATTACAACAATGCGTGTTATTATATAACCTACACCATCTAAAATATGGAGGGCTTTGATATTCAAGAAAACATGGTCGAGTATTTAGTTCCTAACTTCACGGCAGGACTAAAGCAGGAATCAAATTGGGGACGATAATGTTCTTGGCCTATCTAAGTCGTTTATAAAGAAAAATAATATTTTATAAAAATGATAAAAGTATAAACTACACCTGATTGTAAAATTAAAATAAAAACTTCAAACAATAAAAACATGAAATAAGACAAAATATGTACAAAGGTTAAGACATTGAACAAGTAAATTAAAATTAAATGATGTAATAAATGTAAGTATAAAATTACATCTGGCTGGTGCATGATCAGATTTCGGTTCCAGTGTAACCAACCATATCAAATCCAGGGGGTAAAATCATCATTTAGGCTTTATGCAGTTGAATTGCGATCAATGTATAAGCAACACCACATGTCATGAGAATAATGAATAATATGAAATACCGTATTTGCTAATATGCCAAGCATTTAAGAACAAACACTGAAGTACAAAATGAAAATGTGACCCAGTGTGGCAAATTTTGAGAAGTAACAACTCCCTTACAAAGTATCTATCGGCATACCAGAAACACAATTGTTAATATGGTGCTACATTCACCTCCAAATACCGGTACCACATGCCCCCCTCTTTTCCTGCTCTGTTGTCAATTGAGCAGGTGAGTCAAATACATAAGCCAGCTATACTAATTTACATAACCCTAACGTGCAACACATGGTAAAGCTGCATGTATTCCGGCAACTGTCTACTGCAATGTGTACCAAACAGAGAACTAGACTAGTTAAGGCAGGGTAAAAAGGAGTGTTAAGAATGACAACATATTGTAAAGCTCCATTAAGAATCTCTTACATGCTTTCATTCCGAATTGAGTTTCCAATC